ATATATATATATATATATATATATATATATATATATATATATATATATATATATATATATATATATATATATATATATATATATATATATATATATATATATATATATATACTCTCTAAATAACTATATTATTTTTTTTAATCCAGGATTTTTCATACATGACGCATCTGTGTTTTATTTACATGTTTGCAAAATTAATATATATATATATATATATATATATATATATATATATATATATATATATATATATATATATACACACACTGGATCGAGCTGTTTTGCATTTGATGTGGCTCCAATAAGTCAATATATCGTTTCTCCTTAATATTCCTTATTTCATGAATTATAGAACTTAACTAGAGTCTGATTTACTGGATGTAAATACACTGAAATGCATTTCAATCGTACTCCAAAAGGATCTAAACTGGCAAGTGTGCTTTCAAATTTTGAGTTGCTCTTTAATAATTGAACTATTTTATGCTTTCTTACGGGCAATCTCCCGACTATACCAGTGAAAATATCTTCGATTTATTAATGACTTATATATTTTGCCATTAATGTAGGAAAGAATCTGAATATATGGTTGCGTTTCTTTGATAAATATTGGAAACTAGCCGACACATTACAGGAATGAATAAATATTTGTTAGCGAGCACAATGCAACCAAATGATGGAGGCGCCTTTATTATTTACTCTTTTATTAAATTATTATCGACTGAAACAATAGTCTTTGTTGAAGATTTCGTGTCTTCTACAATTTTCTTGCTTCCAGAGTGGATGTTATTTTTGCTTCCTTTCTTTGTCTTAATGATGTATTTCCACCAGCAAACAGGCAGATAATATCAATCATCCGCGACCTCAGATATAAAAAAAAAAAACTTACACTTCTTCATACTTCGCTTTCACGAATGGATGAAAAACATTAATAGCAATGGTACCCGCCGTAATCCGATTTAAATTAAATCACATGACTGTCTTTTTTTATATATATCTTAATACGTGTAATTAAAAGTTAATGCAAATTCCTATCTTAATGTTTACACACTTTACATATGGACTATTTTCTCTATCATTGTTGTTATATTTTTTCGCTCGTTCTTCCCTCCGGCCTTCTTCATGGTTAGTGTATATAGACTTATAGTACCAATTTTTTATTATCATTTTTGTGCAAATAGTGTGAGTCGTACTATACACAGGTATTTTTGAAGATGATGAAATCATGGATTTTCGTGACCGGTTGCACTAAACACAAAATACCACTTTACATATCTAAACAACCCTAGCTTCTAACAAAATAAACCAAAAATAACAAATGTGTATATAGTACCTTGTACTCAGAAATTATATAAAAGTAATCCTGACAAAATTTTTCTCATTGGATATGCTATATCTCAGTAAAGCAAGAGCCTGTGAAACGAAGATGAATGCAAATTTAAAATACGAAAATCTATTAATAGTATATTTACATAAGGTACTAGTAGCCATAGCCAACTGGTCAATCAGAAAAAAGCGTTCAATTAGAGTGGAGCAAAAATAGCATCATGGTTAGATGTAACAGTTTCTGTCTTCTTCAATTACTTTAAAGTACTTTCATTAAAAATATTTCGAATTAATGCTGTTGCTGATATAACAGAAGTAGTCTGTATTTATTCAATCGAAATTAGCAATGATAATGAAAGGGTAAACGAGACAACTTAAAGACGCATTTCAGAACACAATTAATTTGGTGTTTTTGAAATTCAATTTGTCATTGTGCTACTAGTGATGTAAAAGAGGATACAATGATAAAGCAATTGTTAAATTTGATGAAAATTATTTGAGGATCAACGAAAAATAAAAAAGAAACCTGCAAAAGTCGCAATTTTTCACTATTTACGCAAGTTTTCAATATATGGATTGATTCAATTGTCAAGTTAAATGACTGTTAAACAATACATTTATTGTTGGATACAAATGAGTGAAGTTTTATTAGATTGCTTGAAAATTGATGGAGATTTATTTTAAAATTTGTGTTGAAATAGATTTGCGTTGAAATCGATTTTCCGTTTTTCGCGGATTTCGCGGTTTTTCGCTAAACGCAGTGGCATAGAAATAAAAATGAGGTATCACTGAGCTCATCATGATGTAAGTAACCTACATACCGAGTTTGAACGAAATAGGAGGACAAAAGTTGAATTTAATAATTTTGATTGGCTTTGACGATTATTGATTTTTTTAAAAAATTACCAACATTTGCGCTAACAACCTATCTCTTAGACAGGACATTTTATGTGCCAAGTTTGGTCGAAATCGGTTTGATGGATCTCGAGTGAAAAGACAGACAGACATACAGATATCCTCTCTTTTATTTATATAGACTGGTTGATTTAAGTTACATTTTAAAATATATATTGCTCTTCATATAGACAAAAGTGAAGAAATTTACACTAGGTCTGAGGCAGTCCCTGTTTAAATGTTCTATCGTAGTCAGATATGAATGCATAAAATTGTGGTATCTAAATATTCCAAAAATTCAGTAAAGAGAATATATGGAGTTACCTTCCACAATTAAAAATAAAGTGAGAAAATAAAATTAATTTCAAACGTAAATGACTTAAAGTATAAACATAAATTCATTTTAAAAGTATAAATTAAACATTCATTTTTAAATGAAATAAAGGTTTATATTTCAAACGTTTTTTACCAAAATATAACACAAAAGAATTTTAAAAATATCTTTAAAAATAACTAAATAAAATCAAATTATTTTTCTTAACTCAGTAAAACTAAAAGGTTTATGAGCGTAAGGGTGACAACACATGACAATCGTGGCCTCACAATGATGTTGCATCTGAACACTACATTTGGGAAATTTAGACAAACAATAAAATTATTTGTAATTGTTGTAAAAATTTTCGGTGAGACGATTTGTTTAAAGTTTTTCAATTTTCACTTAATAAATACAATCTTCACTTAACAACTTAATATCTGAAGTTTATCGATGTTTGGAAGAATTTGAAAACATTTTTGAAACTTTTAATGAATAAAAGAAAAGGTAAAATAATTCTTGTAAATATTCATTGTTCATCGATTTTTTTTCTTCATACTAAAATGTGCTAAATATATATTGTATATAAAAGCTATTAAAAGCTTAAAATAATTAGTTTTATTGCAATTTTGCTTTTCGAGATTTAGAGCAGAGTTCAGAAAACTTGGTAATAGTTTGTGAAAAAAATTGATTTACATTCTCCAAGGTGTCCTGCTTTTAACTAATAAAAAAAAAAATTCGTTGGCGATTTTAAATACTAGAAAATTTTATGAGATTAAGTAAGGAGAGATATCAGATGTAAAAATAATTATTTTACCAAGAGTTTCTAAAAATAACATTTTCCAAAATACGTTAGTTTATTTGCGAATAAGTTCTGAAAATTTCTTTAAGATTCAACAATTATTTGATTTCTGCAAGAATTTAAAATTTAATGTTTTTCACCGGAAAAAGCCGCGCGAAAATGAACATTACCAGATCTGTTACAATGTCATCACACACACACACAAACACAAATGTTTTTTAATATAAATTTCGAAATTTGTTAGAAAGGAGTAAAACATGTTTTTTTTTTTAAATAATTAAAAAAAATATTTTGCCTTTCCTCTTAATAATAACATAAACATTTTGACGATAAAACTTTGTTCTAAGTATGGGCTATTTTTCATCATGGCATGCTATGTTTCAGCGATTTATTGGCGGTACCTATATTAGAGTAAGTGATTTTTCTCAACACTTTGGCGTAGGTTTTACAAAAAATATTGAATAGCATTTATTTTTATATATCGCCGATGATGGCCAGTATAGAAATATTTGTCTACGATAGATCTACTAGTATTGATCAGAATTATTTTACACAAAATAGAGGAAGGAATCAGGTTTTTCATAAACAATTCAGGGGTAGCGCTATTTATGAAATAGGATTATAGACGAATATATGCAATATGTCGATCCGGATAAACTCCAGGGAGTTTTCAAATAATCCCTTTATCCCATTAGGGTACACAGATCGTCATACACCTGATGAAGCCCGGACATTAATCTTCGTGTAAATAGTGAAAATAATATCCAAGAATTTTTGACAGAAAATTAAAGGGTCTGAATGCAAGCGAAAAGATTTTAAAAAAACAGCGAAAATAGATGATCTGAATCTGACTCTTCTAATATTTTATTTAAGAAGCCCACGATAAACATATGATGCTAGAATCTCCTGAATTATTATTTCTGGCGCATCTTAATTCATTTAAATTAAAACAAGAAAATGGTGGTTTTCTAAGCCTAGCTGTAGCACAAGGTCGAATGTATAAGGCACCCAGTGAGGATCGAGCTCACTACTCAGTCGTAAATGGATTAGCGAGACAAGATTGCTGACCCATTACACGACGTCCGAGTGAACTGATTAAACAAAGAATATCAATTTTATTTTATGGACAACATTAATATTTTGAAAGTTATGTAAATTTTCATTATTAACGCTTTATTCTTCATATTATTTTTAAATTTTTAATATTGAGCACTATATATAAAAATATATGCTCTTTCTTTTATATATATATATATATATATATATTTATATATATATATATTTGAAGAAATAGTGTCTTAAGATGTGCTATATTCACGGGATAAAGTGCTCAATATCAGAGATCGCGCGTGTGTAAATATGAAAGTGAACATAGATGTCAACACTTAGTGGCGACAGTCTGTTTCATGCTATATCCATATAGCATGAAGCAGACTGTCGCCTCTAAATGTTGACTTCTGTTCACTTATATATATATATATATATATATATATATATATATATATATATATATATACAGCAGACCTGTATAAATTCTGCAGTTGACTGAGGTGACACTTGACACATTTGACTTTACCTTTTAAAGTGGATAAATTGTAAGCTTTCATTATATACCGATAAATTCATGTACTGCCTATCGCATTATAATAATGTATCAGATAGATTTTTATGACATCTATTTCCTTCAATTATGTAGAGTGGGAACTGGAAATTCCAGGGGTTATGTAAATTCTTATTACTGACACTAATCATTTCGAGCTGGCATCGTTCATGTTCCACGGAAGCAAATGTTAAATGCAATAAGCCATTATTGTCTCTTCTAATTTTCCCTCCTTTCTTTCGTTTTGTTTTCTTCTTTTCTTTTTTTGTTATATTCTTTTTTTCTTTCTTCTCTTTCTTTCTTCGTGTCTTTCTTTCTTTTCTTTCTTCCCTTCCTTTTTCTCCCTTTCCTTATTTCTTTCTTTCTTTCTTTTTTTTCTCTCGTTCTACCTTATCTTTCTTCTCCTTCGTTCTTTCCTTGCTACCCTTTCGCTCTTTCCTTTCTTCCCTTTCATTATTTCCTTTTTTCCTTCCTTCTTTCTTTCTTCCTTTTTCTTTCTTTCTTTCTTTCTTTCTTTCTTTCTTTCTTTCTTTCTTTCTTTCTTTCCCGTTATTTATCTTTGTTTCTTTGTTCCTTACATTCTTTCTATCTTTTTTTCTCCTACCTTTAACCAGACAGAAATTTCTACTGCTTTAACGCACCCAAGAATGAGGTTTCCGTAAGATAAACATGGGATCGAGATTTACTTTGTCCGGTTTTGAGATATTAATAATTTAGGGACAGGGAATAAGCAGACCATAGGAGAATCTAATAAATCGCACATATTAATGAAGGAAGAAACAAGTGTAATTATAAAATTATATATATATATATATATATATATATATATATATATATATATATATATATATATATATATGGACACCCGTCGGTTTCGACGTATGGGGATCTATAGCTTATTGATTCAGTTATGAAAGTTTATGCGATAATCTTAAGTGGCATTTAAGACGCACTAGTGATTTACAAAGGAGGCCACATATGGAGCAAGTGTGAGGATTGTGAGATGAGATCATTGTTAGATTGGCTGACCTTTAAATCTTGCTCTCGCTTCTTGAAGATGATTCAGACAAGCAGATTGAAAATTGCTGAGTCCACTAAAACACATTGATCTTCATTCTACCCGCTCCAAGGCTAAGCGCTCAAGAATTGTTATGTGATATATTGACTGCTGACAAGTTGCCTTTCAGCTTGTCTTTGTATCTTAGCCATGGGCATCCTACATTCCTGTAGCCCTCATCTAACTGGCTGTACATTAGGATCTTGGGTATCCTGTCATCAGACATTCTCAAGAGAAGACTAGTTCACCGTAACTGAGACTGTATGATAAAAGTCTCGATTCCTCCAATATTACACCTGTTAAACAGGTCTACGTTAGATGACCTATTTTGAAGCTTAACTCCACAGATTGTACGCAGACAGCTTTTAATATATATATATATATATATATAATAAAAAGGCTTAAACACTAATATTCCATGGTCATAATTTATTCCATTGGAATCGTAAATACGATCCAATTCATGAGACCTACAAATTCAAAAAGAAAACAGAAAAAAAACCACTCCGGAAATAAAAACAGAATTTAGAGAGAGTGTAAGTATGAGGAGGAGGGAGATTAAACCTTAACGGAGAGAATTTTAGGAGATATGGGAGGAGGGGTTTAAATAAGAGAAAAGAATGAATGTCGACGGATGTCTAATGCATAAAGATACATTTCGTGGTGACATACACACACCATAGACAATTTAATGTTAGAATAAGAGGGAGGGAAAGACGAGGTGGGGGAGAGAGATGGGACGAAGAAAAGTACAGACATTGAGTTCTACCTGGATTCTTCCTCTTGGAATTTTTTTCTGAAAATATACATGTATGGGTATTTACATATTTTGCATATGTATGTATATTTTCCACTAATATTATCTATCTATCTATCTATATATATATATATATATATATATATATATATATATATATATATATATATATATAGGGATGTAACAATGGCAACATGATTATTTCACAGTAAGCCCCTTTTATATACTGCAGCTGTGCTGTGCTGACCATATTAAGCTCCTACGTGACCTGTTATTGTCCACGGGCAGTACGCTCTAATCCATGGTTAATTGTGATTTTATGCTATTAAAATTATCATCGGCTTAGGTTTCGTTTTCCAAATTAAATTCAAATGGCTTGGTTCAAATTGCGGTATGGGCTTCAGATAATTCCCGGTGTTGTTACATGCTGGGAACGTCTCACTACGATATAGTCATGAAGGAAAACTCTTGACAAATCGACCATTGATTGATTCGGCTATCAGACGAAAAACCTGTGTCTCATCACTCATAGTTAGAGCGTTAGCGTTCAAATCATTCGGCCAAACCCATATATAGATTTGTATATATTTGTTGAATAAATAAAATATATTTTGAGTTTTGTAAATGTTCTAAACTTCTATCGAATAAAGAGTCCGTTTTTGCTACTTCGTGAAAAGTTTACAATAATAAATCTACTTTTGAAATAAGATTCAAAGGCTATTCTCGCCAAAACATGATATTTATCCCGAATTACATCAATTTGTTTATTCAAAACGAATGAACCAGATTGTTAATTCAAACAAAAATTTAATTTAATTAATTTCTGTTCTAATCTCTTATTCGTCTGATGAATGTTTGCATTTTGCGATCAGTGTTTTGGATTATTTTCCGAGTTGAACGTTGCAATTTTTCTGTTCATGAACATTGATTTTTTAATGGCTATTTTTTATTCTTTGGTTATGAATCTATGCCTTTGTTTCTGCCTTCAGACAAATCATACATTGGAACACGATATTGTTTCAACCTTCTAATGATTGCATTCTCATCACAATCAAATATCACTTTCGATGCACAACCGTAAACTACCCACCAAAATAACGTTAGAATAATAAAATAGATTACCCACAATGCAATACAATAGATTACCCACAATGCAATACAATAGACTTCCCACAATGAATCATTGACCTGCATATATCAATAGTCGAGCAAAAGCACAGCGCACATTGAATGACGATAGCGTTTAGTATGAAACATACTGTCGATTCTGGATATTGACTTCAAAATCATCTTATCCACACACACACTCTCACACACACACAGAATGCGAGGAGTAAATTGTTGCTTATATTTTTAATTTGGCGCATGCGCGTTGTTTGCTTATGATTTTTTTCGATTGCGCAATTAGGGTCTGCTGAGCAACTACTGTATAAAAGAAAATAAAAAATTACAAAAAAACTATGACGCAATTTACTCCGCCAGAAATTTGGAAACGTCATGTCGTAATGCTTGACATTTGCTGCGAAAGCTCCAATACGAACATTTCAGATTCTTTGGATGTCAATGTGACGACAGTGCAGAGGATTCAGAAAGAGGTGGATGAGTCTAATGGTGATTACGAAGACACGTGAACTCTGAAAATTCACTTTGATCGCTCTGATAAGAAAAGAACTCTCGAATTTGTTGTTGAGGCTGAGATCCTCATCATGGAGACCAACATCAAGTGCCCTGGATCAAGACCGTGGCTGCTGGAAGATACTGTGTCTGGCAACAGAACTCTGCACCATGCCACACAGACAGAAAATCATAGTCATTGCAGTCAGACAATTGCTGCGACAACATCGCCTCTTACGTCTGGTCATAAATTTATTCTTTAATATTTCAAGATACTTTCGTGAAATTGTTGGTAAATATATCTGTTAAAATGAGATGTCAGTGTTATTTTCATTTTTTTCGTAAATTAGACAACAATTTATCCATCGCCCTGTATACATAACATCAAAAATGTATATTTTTTCCTTATTCGTTGACAGATTGCGATCACCAGAAAAGACATGTTTTTGCAACACAATTTACTTTCCCGTGACAAAAAGTGATCTATTTTCACCATATAGAAAATTGATTTTTACTTAAACCGAATACTTAAAGAAATTGGGTTTAAACAACATCACATTTTAACATATTTATATGTTTAAAAATGGAACTAAAACCTTAGTAGGAGTTTGTTTGAACGAGAACTATGTATGAAAAAACGATAATTTAATTAATTTATGATCCTCATCACTTTTTTTTTATTTGAATACGAGATGTAAATTAACAAGAAACGAATATGAGCTGTCATTTCTACTCGGAAAGGAATCCTTAAAAATAACAGTTCTTTTGTGCAATTAAGATTAAGCAATACATCTAACAGTTCAATTTAAATATACAGGGTGGTCCGAATGTTTTGTCAACCCTACGTAATATAATTTTCTATTTCAACGCTCAGTGGGGTATTATCAAGGAGAGATTTTCACATGAACAAATCAGAATACCATCAGTTGAATGACGCCGTTCGGAGAGACTTTGCAACAATTAACAAAGCACAGCTTCGTAAAATATCTTACAGGACATAGAACTACCTCTTTTTGTGCCACGAAAATGATGGTGTTCATTCAGACTTTTTCGATGTGTGACAGCGACAATGAAGTGAATACATTAAAATACATTAAAACTAGTACACGTGCTTCTTATTACTGTATTACTTGTTATTCTATTGTTCTCATTACTTTTTGGTAGTGGTTAGCAAAACTTTCAGATCACTTTGTACATTAAATGATATTCTCGATAAAATTACAATTCACAAAATATTATTCTTCCACCATTAAAATTGGTATTGTTTAGCGCCAAATGCAGGAAGGAAAAAGAAAATTTATATTAGTAGTGAGCGTTCCATTGCAACAACACATTCTCCCAATGCAGACATGGATAAAATTGCTTGTAGTCCGATAAGACGACCTAACATGAAATTAATACTACTCTCGTTACCACCGAATAAGATTAAAATATGAAAATATATTAACAAGTACAAGTAGCTCCTAGGAAATGCTTAAATAATTTGCTAATATTTCTTGGGACAATAATCATTGCAGATTCACTATACATTTAATATTAAAAAAAATCTGTAAGGATACTAAAAAACAGAATAAAATCAGCTAGAAAATCTCTTACTTCTTCCTGACCTTCAAAGAACCTTTCTGCCCAAATGTCGCTGAAGCTCCTCCGAGACGAGCGGCAAAACATCGGATTAAAAGGTGATTTATATTAGAAAAATCAACGCGGGTTTGATTTCTGCCAGAAAAAAATATTTTCTTTATTGAGATTTCACGAACAAGCACGCTAAACGACCTAATGCACACAGTTTAAAGTAAAATATATATATATATATATAATTAATTATTCGTCTATTGCATATGTGAATATCCACAATAATAAAGTTTGAATTAATAAAAATGTTTGAAAAATTAGAAATGTCAGATTAAGAATAAATACATTAATACTTAAAAAATCACTTTATTTACATTTCGAATGAGAAAATATGCATATATGGACTTACCAGAAAAAAGATATTTTACTGAGGAAGGGTTTTAAATTTAAAAAGAAAAAAAAAAAGCGTAGTTTTATTGTGATGTTCTCAATAGCCGATCACTAAATAAATGGCGGTCGTTGATTCAATTCCCTGTATGTATTTATAGATTCTTGATAAAATCCAAAGAATAATTAGCAATGTTCCTGACTGGCATCTCAGCTTCAGTCTCTTTCCAACCGCCATAAGTTATTTTC